AGCATCGGCCAGACAGTTAGCTGAAAGTTGTCCAAGATTAATCTCTGCTCTTGCTGCTCTCCATAAACTATATAGATTTTCTTCCATGGAAACACTTGGACCTCCAAGGACTACTTCTACTTTGGAAAGAGGTACCATGTGTAACTATCTGCAAGTAAAACTGAAGTGTAGCAAGAGGTACCCATTCAACCTTACAGGGTCAGACACAAGGGCAAAATTAAGGAGCAAAGTAAACGTGAAGTATACTTCAATTTAGGTTTAAGTTTTTGGTTCTTCTTAAACCGCAGATACTCAAGTTATATTAAGTTTTATTTCAGGTTCCTCAGGAAACAACCAAACTTTAAGGCGTTTCCTGATCAGTTATTATGGCTAATGCTTTCTTAAAATGACCACCCTAAAAGATGATGTCTCACTCGAATCACTCAGTTAAATAAATAAAATTTAAATGTTCAAGAAAGGAACGCCATTTCCATATTTTAATGACACAATGGAAAATAAACAATTGACATTGCTAGAATATGAAACAAGACCATTGCAATTTTGTATGACGTCATTTGATCGTTAAAATTCTGCTTGAGTCCAACTGTTTCCTTTACTTTGTTTCACGAATAAAACACTAATAACCCTAAATTAAAGACCAACTGATGAGATATTTCGCGGATATTGTCACAACACTTGTATATTTACTTGGTAACTTAACGATCGCACAAAAGGTAACACTAAACTAACGAGAAGTCATTTTTCTTGTCAAATTGAATACTCTATTGACAAGGAATAGTTTTTGTTGTGTTCATCAATAAAATACGAAATCGTGGTTTCTGGCTATAGTAAACTCAATTGTTTCTGCACATTGAACAGTATTTGTGGTCAAGAACTTTCATGATTTAACATGAAACACTAAATGTCACTTTGCAGTCGGTGATTTTTCAAAATTTTGCCTGATACCAAGGCTTCGTCTATTTCAGTCCCCTAAATAACTTCAAAAACAGGCATTTCTATTCTGTCCGGCTTCAAGTTGTACTTCAGACAAAAACAGTTACCATGAAAAGCACAAGTTTTCTAAATAGGTCTGTAAAATTGGAAGGCAATTTTTGCGATGCAGCATGGAAGACCGATTACAGCGCCTTTCTCAAAAGCTCAAGTCACATCGCCATTAATGGCAAATAAATATATATTGCTCAAGTGATTTGCTTATCTGCCACTGGAAAGCCAGGCTAACCAACCGGGCATTGAGGTTCAAATTACTTGCACACGAGATGGACAAGGGAAGAATTTATACCGAAGCAGTGATCCCTCTCCCCGGGACCCTTCTATGAACACTTTGTCATTATTGAGTAACACTTATATGACAAGCAAATCTAAGCACAGGTAATTTTGTGTTAGCAACTGAGTTGAAAACATAAATTGACCACCGTAAAGAATTTAAAGGCTGACGTTTCGAGCGTTAGCCCTTCGTCAGAGCGATTTAAACCGTCTTTATGGTGGTCAATTTACGTTTTCAATTCAGTTGTTAACACTAAATTACCTGTTATACTCTCCCACCGATGCAGCACCACAGTTTCTTTAGAAACTTACCCCCTTTATTCAAGTCTAAGCACAGTTTGTGCATGTGCCGCATGGTATGCTCACCTTCCAGCGCTAATGGGTTCTTTGAAAAGCACAATTTAGAAGTGAGGTTCCTTTTGTATAATATGAGTTCCGGGCAAACCTGAAACACAATGTCGTGAATTTGGGATTGAGATTGGGAGGGCATTTAGGCCAGTAATGATATCTACACAAAGGTACGCCATTCAGAGAGATACGCGAGCAGTATTGAAGATTTTTCCCGTATGTACTGGCTTTATCTAAAGGTACTATTAAAACAGACCTAATTAGAGAAAAATTGAAAACGATTGCAATTGTAACCAAAGCAAACGAGATAGTCCGATGCTGCCTGATTTATTGAGTAATCATGTATGTCTTCCTGTTTGTTTTTAAACTAGATGGATGAAGACATGAGGGGGAGTGGGAAGGGGAGTTGTGAAGACCGGAAGCCAATCAGGGGGATTTTGTTATATTGTTACTTAGTTCATAAAACAGCTTTGTCTGGAAAATCCAATCAAGCCATTGGACGTTATCAGTCCACTCACGAGTTCCACACATACATCAAATTCTAGTTACCATTGTTAGTGATATTTTGATAGAACTATGAAAAGTCTTCAAATCCAAATAAAGACGAACTGGAGGAGAAAATAATAGAAGGAAGTGAGTATTATTTAGTTAGGGCTAACAAGGCTAAATCTATTTCCTTTCGCTCCCCAATGGGGTTGTATTTTCACTTACATAAGGGAAACTGAAGACCTTCAACGACCGGCAGTCCCAGTAGGCCGACCCACAACGGATCTCCATTTGATTTCAAAGAGTCATAAGAACCTCGTTCCACGGCCTGCTACGGCTTAGTTACACTGAACTTAAAATCGCAACAGTCTCACGTTGAAATTCTTCTTACTGTAGATTAACAGTGACCCTTTCTATTACAGGACATTTGTGGCAGTTGGACTAAGCGTTCACCACGAATATTATGTAGAAAACAGTCAGAGACATTAGAAGACTTATGTCATTATTATTTTTTTTATCTCAACTTAGATGTGGATTGAACGGCAAACCCGGACAATATTATCTACCAAACGTTCATGGAATGTATATAAAACCTCCTGTACGCATGAAGCATGAATAGGACCATGCATGAAAAGGCAAGGTGTTTCGTTCTTTTGGCAAAATTCACAAGTTCTCAATATGACGAGCAGGAAAAGTGTTCTAAACTTTTGCTGTACAAGAAAAAGCTGGAAGGACTTTATCAAAATAATTCAATAGCAAAGAAGAATCAGATAATCATTGAAGATGTGCTGTTTCGTATTCTTCAAATTCAAGAGGTTGGGAGCGTTGAACACTACCAGCTCAATGGCTCACTCATCAAAATACACGTCTTGGAGGATACGGATATTTAGTATCATCAATGGCATTTTTTAAAATGATTGAACAGATAACTTTTAAGCTTTCGTTCTAAACGTAGCTTTTAGAATTATTTAGAACTATTTAAAAAAAGCAGGAGGTAACGATATCGATATCGTGATACCAGTTCATGATATTCACTACCACAGTACCAATATCTTGAGACTGAATACAGTAAGCTATATCTTTAATGTAACAGAAATGAAAATATTCCCTTGCTATCACAAACCCTTTCTTGGAGAAGGTCCGGTATTCCTACCGCGATAACATCATGAAAGACAGTAGAATCCAACCAAAATTACCGAGTTTAAATGACGCGAACACATTTTTGAGTGTTGAATGTCCTTGCTGTGTAAAATTCTTAATCCGATCATTGGACCACCCCGTAACTACTAAATTAGATTGTTTTGAAATTCTTACTTATGTGTATTATTCCTCTTAAAACCTTTTCCTTCGTTTTTACGACGGGGAAACGTGGAGTACAATAGAACTTTTTCTGCATCTATATCTATATATATTGCTGCATCTATATCTAAAAGTCATCTTTTCATCCTAAAGAAATCATTTTGTTTTTATTTTCTCACGACTAAGTTGAAAAGGTTTCCTAGGACTCCATCGCCTTATTTCGACGATATTTTCGCGGCTCAATGGTGATTTTTATCGACGTTGTTGCGCTGAGAAATAGAAACGTGTATCGATAATCTTTCGCCGGTCTACAGTTGTACGGTCGTTTCAGCAAAAGTCGACTCGCAACGAGTCAAAAGTGATTTTCTCGGTCACGGATCAAGAGTCGCTTCGCGACAGTCTAAAGTTGTTTCGCTTTAACTTCACAATGAACCTGAAACGATATAAAGCAAATGTTACATTTATCCAGTCCTCCGCATTCAAGATATCCATCTGATGACCGTCTGTTGTGTTTGCTCAGTTTAATTAACTTGAATGACAATGAAATATAGTAATGTTGATAATAACTAAAGCCTTGAAATAATGACTTTACCTGAAGGAACAATATCGCCTCAAAAAAGCAAAATCGACATTAAGTTTCAGCGGTGATAGAATGTTAGGGGAGTAAAATCCCAACCCAAGGCTTTATACCCCTGAGTAAGAGGCATGGGAAAAGTCTGCACTCGAGCCAAGTGGTCCATTCAGCCGGAGCTACTGCCACTGGATGAGATGCCACTCCATCGCGCGTTACATAGACACAAACACAAACGCGGTGCTATAAGGCGGCTGCGTCCCCCACTGAGCCGGGAAGGAAGACGGAGTTATATAGTAAACAATTGGCTATCAATACACAGAACTATAATTAAATCATTATAATGACGATTACGAAAAAAATCACTCGCTCGATGAGCTTATGGTATACTTCTGCCGACTCTGAAAGCAAACCTCACCTGCTCCACGTCAAGTATACTTGATATTCACCGCCACAACTGAAAAATTTATTTCTCCGATGCTGAAATTTTAAATGGTCCCAATTTCGACACTCTAGATTTCATAAGGCCACTAAAAAATTTAAGTACACAAATTTTTATCTCGCTACCCACGTTACGCTAATAAGAGTTTTTTGAAAGGAGACATATTGCGCGTCTTGAGAACAAACTCAGTCTCGTTAATTCAATCAAGGCTACCCTCGGGAGCTCTTTGACGAAACTATGTCTTCTCATCAAAGTAAAAAGATATGTAACCAAAAGACGTAACACCTAGTAATTTTTTGTCTGATGTCCTTTTTATGATAGCCATGAAACACTGACGGCTTACCGGAGACAACGCAAACATTGGGCAAATATTTTCTGATGAATCGATCGCCGCTCATCAAAAGGACGAATCACTCTAAGACCACCTCACTAGAGCCACACTCCAGGCTTATACTGCTATTTAAAATTTTTTTTTCGCGCAGGGGAGGGGTAGGACTCGTTCCTGTTCTCAAGTGTTCCAGTGTACTGATTTTCCAGAATTTCTTGAATTTCTAAAATTCTAGAGTCCAGGCTGTTGACGGTCATTGTTGGGCTAAATGGCGGAAGAAGAGTTTCCTGAGAAGTTAGTAACAGAGAGAATAGCAAAAATACATGAACTATTGGAAAGGTGCAGTACCTTAAAGAAAACAATAGAAGGTTTGACGAAGCTAAAGAAGAAGTTATTAGCAGAGTTAAAATTCTTAACATCCGTGAGTACTGACTGCCAACTGTTTCGGTGGGGAAATTTTATCTGTTGCTCGTTTTAATTTTAAAATAAAATTTTAATTTGTGAGGTAATTATATCAGTGGTCGTCCCGTGATTGTTTATTGAAAAGAATTTTTGTGGTGTCAAAATATATTTCCCCAACTTAACCACACCTGTAGAGACAGGGAGGCGTGTGTACAGATGTAAAAGAAGCTATGAATTCAGCGTGATTCGATGCTGTCTCTTCGTCAACTGCGCCGCATACAAATAGTGGTGATATGTATAATTAATCACACTACTTTTCAACATGTAAACATCGCATACATACTGTGTATATATATGTATATGTATCGTGTGTGTGTGTGTGTGATTGAGCTTAACTCTGTAACTGAATACTTCAAGATGAACCAGAGAGATTTCATTGATTTATTGATCCATTTATTAACACTGTTTGAATAATTTTTTAAAAAATTCCACAGTTAAAAGGCTCTGAGCTGACTTTGAAGCACCCGCACATCAAAAGCACCAATCTTTCATTCCTTGAAGCTGTGTTAGAGACTGTGGAAAGTGAAAGCAATGTTACTGCTGTATTCAAGCCATTTTCTTATGTGGAAAAAAGCTCAACACAGTCAAATTGTACTGTGGATATTGTTGGCAATAGTGGCTGTTGTTGGATTAAGGTCACTGCAAGAAATGCCTCTGCATTGCACAGGACATGGCAAGGTATATTTTTGTACATGAATTAAAATTACTTTTTAAAGTTTTTTTTTTTCAGGTCAAAACTTGAAATTTACTCAGCTTTTTATTTGACTGTGCAATTAATTATTTTTAATTGTTTCTCCCTACACTTCATTTGTACCCCTAGCTGCTTTGTACATGCCTTTTGACAGAATAGAGCACATTCAAGGCTTCTCTATTTGTACCCCTAGCTACTTTGTGCATGCCTTTTGACAGAATAAAGCACATTCAAGGCTTCTCTATTTGTACCCCTAGCTACTTTGTGCATGCCTTTTGACAGAACAGAGCACATTCAAGGCTTCTCTATTCGTTAAACACTGCATTAACTTTGCATTTTTCATGGAAAAGCTCAAAGCAAGTTTTGCTGAAGTTTGCTCTTATTACTTTGGCATTTAATATTGTACTTGTTATTTACTATATTTACATATTTATTTTTTAGGGCAAGGAAACTTTGGCGAAAAAGACATTTTCCAACAAGCAAAGGTGCTTACTGTTGTTATTATTTGATGCAATCTTGTGCTTTACATTTTCATGGACTGGAGTAAAGGCTGTATCAATTGAGTCAGATGATGACACTTTTGTATTATTTTCCTCATTTTTTTCAGGAATTATTAGAAGCAAGCAACCAACACCCTGTGAATTATTCACCTCCAGTTGTTATAATTTTATGTTGCCAGGGCATCACAGAATCTCTGGCAAGTGAGTTCATATATGAAAATGAAAAGGAGAATATAACTGAATCAATTTTGAAATAAGGCATAAGTGGCATTAGTTAAAATACTTTTCTTTTGAATGATATTAAATTTTCCCCAGGTTTTTAGTGTGATTTATTACAATTGAAAAGCATGCAAACTCTTCAATTTATTAATACAATGGACAACAGCATGTCTTTGATATTCTCATTTGTATTAGAAGCCTTTAGAAGCTTGGGTATTTGTGTCAAAGGAAAACTTTTACCTGATCCTGAGAAAGATGCTTTGGCCTGTACATGTGTTGATGACACATTCACAGATAACAGGATTCCTGTTGAATTTTATGAATGGTTTGTACATAATATCAGCATGGCATTAGCATTCCTTTGTTTCCTTGTGCATATATAAACAAGTTTATCTTACCTGTCAAACTACGAGATCAAATTTTTAATACAGGGAATAATGGTAATAGAGTTGGGTTAGGTCCAATTTATAATCATTATGGTAATAGGACAGAGTGGAATACAATTTGGTCTGTAATCATACAAGTGATTAACAAAATCAGATGACCGTAAGGCAGGAATCCAGTTTGTCAATTACAAGGTCAGTATGATTACAAACAGAACTGGATGATCCTGAACAAAGAAAGAAACTAGACATAGGTTATACATTTTCATAAAAAAACAACACTACTGAACTCTGCAAAATGCGAGGCAACAGTGCACACACATGTTGTGTGCTGTCCACTTATACAGGCATGATGTGTTAACAGTCCCTTTAATTGTCTTATTTCAATGTCCAATAACAAGCATGACACATACTGTCCTATTAGTGCTAGTGCCAGTGCTAACCAATCACATCCAAGAATTTTGTGATAGTTTTGACTACAGTCTGTAATTATACAATTGAATAACTGAACTGAATGACAAGCAGACCTGCTTTATTAGTGCTGGGCTGTGAAAGTGGCTTGTGAGAAAGATTTAGGTCTTGGGCAAAGTGAGGAAGCAAGCTCAGTGAGTGCTAGTCACCCCTTTCATACAATATAGCTTTAGCTTGTTGCGCTTGAGGCCTCGACTTCCTTGTGTGTGAAGAAACACCCTTGTTGCAGGGCAAAGAATGAGTTCTTCTGGGATGCTGTTTTTATATTGGAGTATGTACACTACGCTAAATATTTCAGTCACTGAAAATAACATTATTTATGATATTATTTTATTTTATCATATAATCTATGGTAATATACAAGGATTTCCAGCCCTGAGAAAAGCCATAACAAAACACATAAAAAAATTTTGTATTTTTTCATGTGTGTTTGATATCACCAATCAGCTGCTGACACATCACTTGCCTTTTGGGCTACTCGCTCAAGTTGGTGAATGAACAGTAAAGCCATTCTCAATCCAAGGTAGTTTGTCGGCATTTTCTTAGATTATGATGGCTATAACACCAAAAAATCTGTATTGCTTACAGACAGTGACATTCAAACTTTCCTAGAAGGGGAAGAAAACCAAATTATAGAAAGAAAAACTGAAAGTTATGTACTCAGTGGCTTTGGTAATGGCATCTCTGGCAGCTGAGAACAAGAATTGACAACTGGAAGATTTGTCACAGGCTGATTTGGCCATGTACCTGAAATGTTTTCTTCTGCCAGTAAAGATCCCAAGTCAATAACTGAGAATTTTTTATTTTGAAAGTTATTCCCATTGTTTGTTTTTAAAAAGTTTCAACACATTTTTCTATCTTGAGCCTCAGTGCCAATGCACTTTACAACTTTTATTTGGGGATGGTTGATCCTTTTATTTTCATTCATTAATAAAGTTGACTTTTCTTGTCAGGAAAGTGCTTTTGTGTTTATATAATATACAAACTATTACATGGTTGCTTGTAGATGTGAAATTTCCCTTCTTATGTTCAACTTCTCATCTCACTTGTTAGCTGTGCTTCCTCTCGAGCTATTGATTTGAACACTCAAAGAGAAATTCCACATCTATGTGCCCCCATGTATTATTCTCTCTTTATTTAAAGAGGTACTTCAAAATAAATGCCCCACAACTTTATAAATACTTAAAAATTTATACTGTGTTATTCAGAATGGATTATGTAAACGAAAATCAATTAAAGCTCCTTCACAAGTCAATGATGCTCACAAGTTTTATAAAAAGTTAACCTATCACAGATTGAGCTAAACAGATTTAGGTAGTTATAAGAAAGTTCAGGATTTTTTTTAAAGATCTGCTGAATAAGATTATTCACCTTTTAAAGTTATCTATTATTGGTCTTCTTGTGTATTTTTTTCCACTATGGTTAAATGGGGCCCTTATTAGTTTCAAGGGGTGCTCCTATGTAGTTATTTTATCCTAGATGTGTCATTAAGTTACATCTTCAAGTTTAGAGTTTGCTTTTTATTTTGGCAAGGCTAAGGAATATGTTGTTATTTAAGGTACCTTGAATGATGATTGGTTTGATTTTCATTCAGTGCTTCTATTAATCTTGACGTCACCACTATGATTGCTTATGTATCTGCTTTAACCAATGGAGGCTGTGGATTTGTCTTCAAGGTACTGGCAGCATGTTCTAAGTAAAAGATTATATGCTTCTTTAGTATCATTGATTGTAATGAACTCTCAGATAAGTCTATCACTTAAGGATTCATTTGGTCTCTTTTAAAAGAATGAATTAGTCAGAATTCTCAAGTTGGAATTATCCAGTTTAAAACAATTTTTTAACTATAGCAGTCAACAAATGGAGTATCTTTTTTTCATTTTGTTCTTCATTTTTGATTAATCTTGTTATTCACTTCAAGTGGGCTTTGAATTTCATGAGATATGAAAATTAACTTAGTCTGTAGTTGTTAAAGTTTTTGTTGTCCCTCACAGACCTATTGCTAATTTGTTGAATTTGTGTACTTATTTATTTACTCTATAGGAGGCCATTTTGACCACACAAGCAAGAGAAGAGCAGCATAATCCAGTGCTTCCAAAGTTGAAGGCCTTCTTTAAAGGTCATACTACAAAAAATGCATTTGACTTGGAATAGGTTTTTTCAATAATGTTTCATGTTTTAGTCAATCAGTACTTCCTATAACCAATCAAGTTTTTTTTGTTAGAAATGCAGAATAATGAGCACCAGAACTTTTTGCCCAGGGGGAGCAATAGTGTTGTTCTCTGATCACCTTTCTCCCTTGTAACTGATATCTCTTGTAGATTACAACTCCAAAGGTTTCCAATATTTTACATAGCACTCTCAATATCAGTTCCCTGGGGGAGGGGGTATGCATCCTTGTTTGACATTGAAGCAAACTGGTACTGCATGTGCAGCTCAACAGCATTTGGTTCCCTATAATCTTAATGGGCCAGTATAATTCTTGATTAGAAAACTTGAACAGGGTGTAAGTTTGGTGTTGCAAGGTGTTTCCTACACAACTACTTATTTTTCTTTAACCCTTTAACTCCCAAGATCTCTTTAGTAATTCTCCCTACTGTCTGCCATATAGTTCTTGTAATGTTAGTTTTGAGAATTTGGTATTGGATCAACTAATCCCTAACTAATATTTTTCTTTATTCTCATCACTTGTTTGCTTGATATTGTATTGATATTGTAAGGAGAAATTCTGTCTTGGTCACACATGGGAATTAAAGGGTTAAACAGACCAGCAAAATGAACAGATTGTGTCCCATACAGAGTCTAGGTTTGAACACCTTAGTAAGAGTGCCTCCTGCAGCATCTGTTGACAAATGATGAAACTTACTTGATTAGTTCTTCTATCACATACTTCTGTTCTAAACATCTAAATGTATTTTCGTTTGTGATGTCATGTCTTGCTTAGCTTTGAGGTTAACACATGCACCGACTTTCAAACATCGTTTTAACATTCCACTGCAAACGACTTGAGCTGGCATTTTATTAGCACATACAAGTTCCCAACTCACCACCCCACGATTCTGTTACTTCTCTCCACGTTCCTGCGCTATCCACTCTAACTTCAATTGAAAGGTCAAAATAGTCTCTCTTTCTTAACCTTTGCGTCCATTAAGTGACCTTTTGTTTTCTGATTAATATAGGGAGTCTCTTAAAAACTAGATTCCTTTTTTTGGCCCAAAGCATTTGCCAATTATCTCTATGACCTGAATGCACTCTATCGTCAGAGATTGTTTTATGAACCGTGCTTGTCTTGCCAGCTAGACAGCTGACTTTGCGAGAACGAACAGGAGTTGTGATTATTCTACTTGTACCTGAAATGCAATGATGAATACGCGGATACAAAGGTGGTACCCTCAAGGATATTTCCTGCAGTATTGCAACCTAACAATTTATTTCTTTGATTGATTAACGCATGTTAGGGAAAAAGTTATTCGCATGTCAGTCAGCAGTAAGAGACTTCGACGCCATTTTACAAACAATTGGTGGTCGTAAAGAACAGGAGCGGGCCAGGTACATGAACATGTGCATTGTTTGAATTGAAATCAGACAAAGTACAAAGTGCACTGTCTTAAAGTTAACTTGTTGATACATACTTCCAATGCGTGTTTTGTTTTTCTGAAACCTCGGTTTTGTCGGTAATTTATTTTAAAGACAATGAGCTCTGATGCAAACAAGATGAAAAACGGTTATTATGACAGATTGTTTTACCTTTACTTGCTATTTCAGCATAACTTTCCCAGAAAAAGGACGCCTAATCTTATCAAAAAAAAAAAAAAAGAATGGATGGAATCTCCTAACGTGGTCTTATATGTCTCAGTGTAAACCGAAAGTTTACCAGTACCATGTATTAATTAACCGATTGTTGACTGATACCAATCCACAAGGCCGAAAAAAGTGCGATGCATTTTGTTGACAATTTTAGAACTACCTTAGGCATACAAAACTATCTACGGCGAGAAGTACGGATGAAAGATCATGAACAAGCGACAACCATCGGGTAGTGAAAATAGTCTACGTAAGTCTGACTGTTAGTGTTTTTCAGGGCTCTCCTTGAAAATGTTACAGTTGTTGAAGATAATCCTTCAGAGAGGTCCCTTAGAGTGCGAACAAGTGGAAGTATCAAGGAGCGATCAAAGGTTCCCTTTTAAGTTCAATTTAAGACTGAATATTTTAGGAAAAAAACTGCAAATCGTTTTCTCTCACCTACTTAATTTGTTCTTTAGATTATCTTTGGTACTGGAGACTCGTTGAAAGCCATAACTTGCACAGCAAATGCGGCCTTCACAAGAGCAGCAGCTACTCAGGTATGACATAATATGACTTTATTGAATTATACGCTAGCACATGTCCGTTGAAGGACAACAGTACAAATTTTCACATCCTAATCACGGCAATTACAAGAAGACGCGGTTACTGAATTGTTTACGCTTTCAGTTGACTCGAGATCAAAAGGAAAGTGATTGAGTGTATGCCTGTGTCAAGGTATTTTTTTTTCTGACAAGTGCCTTTGTCATCCAAACTGCACAGGAGTGGGGGTGGGGCAGCGTTAGCCTCTTGGCTTCTTTGCTGGAACTCAATGACCGACGTGTATCATCTGTATCATTATGCACCAGAAGGGCCATTCGCTATAACGTTGTGATAGATAATTTTGTTTGGGTGAGAACTTTAATATTTTATTACCATGGTCACGATTACTTTTCTCAATATCGCCTGCATTTATCCCATTTACTGCCTCCACCTTCATTAGTTTTAAACTTTCATACATAGAAATGAATATTCTAAATATATTCCATTTTTCACTTATATACAGGGAGTCGAATTCACTGTTTTCATACACGAGTCACGCGCTCTAACTGAAGTGAAGGAATGTCAGGCCACAATGGTTTATCCTGAACGCGATGTTACGTGAGGAACAGCACTCGAGAAAGCCTGCATGCTTTGAAACCATGGAGCATTGCGAACTTGCATGATTATGCCTGTCTTTTGGGTTCAATATTGGCAGAAGGAAAAGTTGCAGTTCCCGTTTCTTCTTTACAATTCGAGAAATTGCTTGTAATGCATGATAAAGTGATGACATAGTAAATCGCCTCTTGCCGCTCGATTGCTTAAGACAAGGGTCGTGAAGTGTGAAGGACTTTATGTTCCGTTACCTCGTCAGACTCTAAGTAGGTCAACTGGTTACTCGTCACCATGCATCTTTTTTTTTTTACAGTATTTGATCATGCTTGGGGCATTTCAGATGATTATTGATATATTTAATTATGATTTGATTATTGATTATATTTGGTTATGCTCAGAGCATTTCAGATGATGCTCCAGATGAAAGCACATCATCTGTGCTTAGTACTCGTGCTGAGATTTAAGGAAAAAACATAACAGTTTTCCTTTGACCCTTGTTCGTCAATTCTAATGAAGTCACTTAAAATAAAAATCTTTTATGTGCACAGGATTACATTTGTTTGGAGATTGGGTTGCTCTGCAAACCGCACTGATTAGCGTCGAGACTGGGCTGTCTAGTTTTTCTCTGTCTTTTCAAAACAACCTTATCCGTATGTGGAAGGTTATTGTACCTTTAAGTAACCATTTTGCTATTTTTCCTTGCTGCAATAACTGCGAGTAAAATTCTAAGATGTTCAAAGGTGCAAACCATGTGGTTTCTGAGATTGCGATTGGGCAAGAGAAGCCCGCTCAGCCCACTCAGCCCACTCATGGAGCCAATCAAACCACATGGTTTGATTCATCTCGTCTGCTCACGCAACATGTGTAAGAGGAGAAAGAAAAACGCGAACGGGAAGAAGTTTGGAGTGAAATCGTTATTACATGAATCCTGTAACATTTCTGGAGTACGGTCTTTCAAACGTTTGAAAGTAATGGGTGTGACCCTCAAGTGAAGCTTAAACCTAAGAACTGCTGAACATTGTTACGTGATGACAGAAAAATAAAACTAAGCCTTGTTGCCTACGTGTTCTTTGGATCAGTTACGCACTGTCGGCCGTAAGCACGTACATGACCGTTCAAGAGAATTTCGTAAGAGGAAGAGCAAACGTTTTAGCTACAGATGAGCTACTTTCAGCTTTGCCAAATCGAAAAGTTTGGAAATTTGCATTAGGCTAGTTAGGTCGACGTGGCTAGTAATACATGAAAGATGGCGTTACATTTGATCGAAAAAGAGCTTGAATGGCTCGATTTACATGATTTTTAATATTTTTCAAATACTTGACCTAAAGCGCCTTTCTTTGAGACGTAATTAAGTCACGGAGGGCGTATTTTATGTCTGTTCTGTTGGAACTAAAGAAATAGACTGCGTAACTCATGATAATTGACGCGAATAACCAAACACTTCAATTTGGATATTTTAGGAAGAGAAGAAAACAACAATCAACACCTTATGAGGTGTGACGTTTGTAAACCCCTTTTTTACTCCAAAGAAGTGTGAATGTACGTATTGCAGCTGGGGTCAACGAGAGTTGTTGTATAACATAATTAAACTCGCTCTGAATAAACCTCGTGGTCATTATATGCTTCATGTAAGAGACACCGTTTAGTCCCTCTCTTACACGAGAGTTATAATATGATATTGTAGCAGGAGTGCATCATCACGTTGCAATCCACAGGTTTCCAGTGGGGAAACACCAGTTCGTCGCCGAATGTGTTCGCTTTGATCGTCTGTAATATTATTGAGAGGGTGTAGGGTTCAACCTCCCGGATTTGCTTATTAAGACAACAGGAAATTCCATGTCGGTTATCATAACGAAAAAGATATCAATGCACTGGTGGTCGCTGAAAACTAATCTAGCGTTTTAAAAGTAAGCAAACAAACAATCCTAATTCAAAGAACATCAACGATGCTGAATCAAGAAAACTCCTCTATGACCAGTTTGCCCAATGGAATGAAAACATCACTTCATTTTATCTTTAATGGAAGATGCCTGATGTTTTTTCTTACACATTCTATTCTTTCTTCAAAAATTAACCACCATTCTGGAGCTGCAACATCAAACCCCCAACAATAAAATTGTTTCCTCCTCACTCTGCATTGACTGTTTCAAGAAAAATATTTTCACAGCGGCTCAAACTAAAGCTAACACCTGAAGCTATCGTGAAATGGGATGACCGACACATCATAACTGACGGATACACTCTCTGAACACGTGATAAAGAGCGCGGAAGCGCTTTGCGTACATAATACCTGTGACAGGTTAGATATCAGGTAGAATCGTTTGCCGTCAGTCATACACACAGGTCACGAGTTACCTTTTGGACTCTTGATCAGACAATAACAGCAACAACAGCGATATAGAAGTGATCCAAGACGTTGGACAACAAAAGTTTGAAACTTTGGCGTTGTACGTTACACTACCCATGGATACTCCGAACTGTGATGGCTCGCGAAGCTACGAATCGATTTATTCAAGGAGTGGTCAGTACCCCAGAGACAGAGAAGTACACCATAACGCCGCGTATGACTCAACTCACGATTATGAGGAATTACCAAGTGTAGGGGTGGAAAGTAAAGAACAAGGCCCTAGACGTAAAGACAATGATTTATATGAACCAACCGGGCCTCTGAAGCAGCGCGTGAGACAAATCACTGAATGTTCAGACGATTTAAGCGCACTGTCAGTGTGCAGTGCAAGTGGCTTCCCTTCTTGGAAGAAAGACAGCTGTCTAAGCAAATTAATACTCTTCCTTATTCTTGCCTTTTCTGTAGCAGCGCTTGTATTAGTGATTTTAATTATTTACGGCACATTGGGTCCAAAGTGTGGCTGCAAAGATTTCAACACAGGTATGTTAAAAACTACTGCAGGGGGTGTGTTCTTATTTCATATTTCTTCACCAGCCTTACTAAAACGAAGAATACGCGCATGAAAATAAGTGTGCTTAATTCGTGCACGTGAGAGTAGCTAAAGCTGAATGGGGTATGTGGGCGCCAAATTTTGTGCATACTTCCACGTACCAACTTACAGTTGCTGGACACTATCAAATTGATTGCTATGAATGTCAAAACAAACTAGAAAATTGATCCTCTGAATGGGACGAGAAGGGATACTCTTTGTAGTGTTCACGTGGAAAGGTCACTCATTACGAACTCATTCATACTCGCACATCAGTTTATTCATTCATTTATTCACCAAGGAATGTACTAATGTAAATAATTTAACGAGTCCGTGTATGATCTCGCTCCGGAAGTCTTACGTTTTTACGGCAATTTATTTTAAGACAATTTCTTAAGATTCTTCAGCGAAATAGCACCGAAGTCTACATAGTTCTCTCTGGAATCAATACATGTATATCAAATCGTTAATCGTTGGCTTGCCTGGGAGAAACACTGAAAAAAATGAATGGCGGAAATTTGTGGAATGTCCTTTTGGCGCGTAAATCCTGCAACCTCCTGTACCTCAGATCAATTAGATTCGAAAGTTATACAATTGTCTTCTTGCTCAAACGCAGGTAGTGGAAGATCATAACTAAGTTCGAGTTATAAAGGTATAACCCATGACACCTTAGATAGTGAAAAGTTTATTGTGTTTCGCGCCAGCCAGATTGCGTGCGTAGAGAGCGGTGAAACCATGAGAGAATCTTTGATAACGAAAATATGCCGCTCTAAAAGGTCACATTCCAGTAGCCCGCAAACGGAAAGAGGAAAAAGACTGTTGATTCAATTTAGAAATATAAACGCTTTCTTATCTTCGACATTATAGCCGCAGGCGAGCTGGAAATCAAACACACTCGTATGGGTGGCGGCGTTCTTTCCTACTCTTTGTTTATTAATTTGTGATGAGCACTCAACCCTTTGGTCACAGTTTTGCATTTCTACAAACAATGTTTATATTATATTTTGTTGTAGAAAGGTGACATCACGAAATAATCCGTAACCTTTTCCTACGCTTTCTTCATCCGATTATTCTCATTCATTTTGAGTTTCTACCCTTTGACTATTTTCGTCTCAGGCTGTATTTTAGCGGGAAATATTGATTGTGTCACAAGGTCACGATCTAGGCGGAATTTGAAAGCCGCATGTCTCACGAAGAAGGGTCTATTTACCCACATCAATCAAATACTTCAATTATCATTTCTGAAATCTGAAAAGTATCTGTTTCCCACAAAAGTTCGCATTTTACATAAGCCCAAGCCTTTCACGCCAGCGTTGGCAGAAGTTAAATAGTGTTTCAAACATTTCCTTTTAAAATTAAAATGGGAATGATCAGTATTACGTCATTTGGTCGTTACCTTGGACATTCAAATCTTTCGAATTGACTTCCAAGGAAAGCTTACTTGGAATTTCTTTTCACTCTCAGGAACCAAGCCTGATACACCGAGACCAGAAATGCAGAGTTCTGTGCAGAGCTTGCTGAGCAGAATTGAGGCTTTAGAAAATGAGATGTCAACCATGAAAAGTAAAATGGTAAGATACAAGTTAATAGTGTGGGCATTTTTTCCCACTTTCGTACTCAAAGCCTGATCAAATTTAGCTGCGAAACTATTTTTTAGATGCTAAGCCTAGGGTTTCATTATGGTTAGAAAAGGAAGGCATCTGTGGGATCAGAGTCCATTTAGTATTTAGCTTGAATGTGATGGATTGCTTACACAGTATTTCCGTTGCCGACATAACTTTTCCGCACAGAGAACGACCAGCTTCTTATGGAGCATCGAATTACGCTCCACCGGAGGTTGCAGATCTTGTGTGGCCACGCATACGAACAGCGGGCCTTTGTTTTGTTTATACACTTCATTGAATTTTTACTCCATTTGACTTGTACTCAGCTGAAGGCAAACTGTTGTCATTAATAAAGAAAAGAAATCTCATCACAAGTGAGGGCGGAAATTGTTGAATACAGAAAATGAAAGAGATTTTAAAAGTAACTCCAACTTTACAATCCATCGCACAGCTCGCGGTCGGATACTGTGACTGTGGGAAACAAAAAAACTGTCTGCTGTCCAGCTGGCCAGCGCCTAATCATTAAACAAGTGTTTTTACGCAAGAGCAGGGAGAGTAACAAAGCCAACTGAATAAACGTCCATTTTTCTTGACTTTACAGGAGGCGAAAGATAACGCATTGGAAAATTTTGTCACGAGACATGAGAGTCAGGTTCGAGTTGTTTTATTTTTTACTTTTATCAATATCATTGAATATTCTCTTTTTTAGTAGGGGGGGAAAGTGAGGCGATGCTGGATGGGAAAACTGTCTCTACTTTCTGTGCGCCTTTGTGACATTCCTATGAGACTATTTTGCTACATGAGAGATAATCCTCAAATGTGAAAAAAATAGAAATGAGAAAATAAATATCAATTTATCAACAAATTCCCGCGCTAAACATAAATGGGGACTCGCGACAATCCAAAGAACGCTGTGATTAAGTCATCGTTGTTGTGACGCTTTAGTGAGATAGGGAAGAGGAGCCTGATTTCTCATATTCATTCCACCCACAGGTTGAAGTTCTGCAGAACCAAGTCAACAAGACTGCGACCAAGGTATGTGCTGTCAACAACTCTATTCTATTCAGCTTTTAAAATCTTTTTTTGTAATCTAGGCTCCAACTAAGTTACTGCTAATAAAAGATTTTCACTCATCAGGTTGCCACTGTGGATAGTGTTTGGGTGAAGATGCACAGTTCACATGAAGCCTTTGAGAAAAAATTGGATTCTGAATTCAAACAACTAAACGAGTCCGTAAAGAAACTGACTAACCAAGATACTCGGATATCATCAGATGTGGAGGAACTTCGAAAAAATCAGGTGATAACAGAGAGGATGAGCGAAAGGTTAGCGATCAATGTTACCAATGTCGAGTCTTCTGTTCGAGAACTGAGGAAGACTAACATCAGCAGCCGGGTGGCGAGTCTTGAGAGAGGATATACCCGGATGAACAACGCGATGAGAACACTTCAAGCAATCGATACTGCGCAAAACGCTTCACGGCAACGACTTCATTCCCTGCAAAAACGTTTACGAGCCTCTTTGACGGCAGTGAACGCAACGTTAAATGACAAGGTGAGTTCACAATTTTCGTTTTTCATAAATTTCTATGTTACGAATTCAGGCCTTGGTAGCCAACAACCTCTTTGAGCTTTTGTTTCCTCAAGCGAAAGGAAATCAATTGTGTCAAGTTGGAATAAGAAAAACCACCAGCTAAATGTTCTGTTTTCGAAAAATGAGGACTGCCAGCTGTTTTTCTTTTCTTTTTTTTTTTTTTAATTTTTATCGTAATTATGATTACGATAAGAAAGCTAACGTTAGAGCCAATCAGCGCATTATACGATGCGTAAATTATAGGTAATTTTCTGTCATATAATGGGGTTCTTTTTATTTAAGATTCAATTTTTTTATAATGGTTTCTCATAATTGTATTTTGATTCTAGATAAAAAAACTGGATGCCATTAGCGACAAGCAGCAAGGCGTAAACCTTAGCCTGTGTAAATACGAATCTTCTGAGGGTACTCCGAACACAGTTAAAGCGAATTCTGGTTCAAGCTCAGTCTCCTACCTGTTGCCACAGGTACAGTACAAACAACAAGTAAAACTCCCAGCATATTCATTATTCAAATAAATTAAACACCAAAAAAAATTCCGATCCAGTTGATACTTATAGTCCTATAGACTGGTTAATCTTTTCTCAATTGTACAAATGCTTAGGGAACATGATCACCGCCCGTTCGTAACTGCACTAGAAATGCCGCCTGGCAATCTTGGAGTCGATATATTAACTTTCCTTTTAATATTTGCATGGTTTCTTTATTTCAACAGGGTATGCGAGTAATGGGTGTCACTTGTTCTACAGATAAGGCAAGATTTTACACATTAGAAGAGCTTCCGGGTAATGGCTTCAAGTGCGTGTGTAAACATCTGTCCCCTGTGTTTGGGACGGGTGGGACGACTGGAACTCAGATGTGGTGTAAAATACACGTATGGCAATGTCCTATATGAAAACTATCCCTGGAACAGATGATGTTCGAGGAAAAATACAACGGTGGTCACTAAGACCATGATAATACTAAACGAAATCACTGGATGAAGATTTTATTTTTTCTTATTCATTTTCGACAAGGATTATTATGGTCTGCAACACGAAACCTCTTAGGTTCAATTTATTTTAATAGTCTTCAATCATAAACCAATTTGGCAACGTATGTTTTGTTCGTACATTGTCGGTGTGATAAAAATATTTAAAACACGTGTTTGAGGTCCAATAAGAGCTTTTAAAGAGCAGAGCTGTCCATAAGTCAGCTGGTCATATTAACGCTAGCACTAAAAATGCTTTCAGCATAACTGAGCGTCTCTTACAAGTTGGACTGCAGGCCGATAGATTTTAGTTTTTAGCTCGTCTTTTATAGGCCGGCTTTTTGCGATATTTTGTGATAAGTTCTGCTTTGATTTATATTCTGTGTTCAACACACCAGTGATTTTTCAGTTTTAGAATCCATAGTAGATTCAGCACTACCGATTGTCATCACTCGAAAACCAGCTCTTACAAAATACTACTTAATGTAGCTTGCTAGTAATCAGACAAGCCATGTTGTATGGAACCTGATATTTAATACCTTTGAGAGGTACATGAAGTAACGTAAATTATACGACAAACAAATTCCAGGACAAAGCTCTCAAAGGAGCTAATAAAAGGTTTAAGATATCTAGCAGCTGCAAGATGGAGAATTGCAAACAAAAAATTTATGAGTACAAAATATAAGTAATTTATAATTAGGATCATAATATATTTAATTAGTTTTACATGCCAATAATTTTATCTCACTGCTTGAGTAATAAAAAACGTCATGAGAGTGACAATGTATTTTACTTATGTAACATTTAAAAACGATAAATATTTGTTCAGGAACTGAGAGTGTCTTGGTGTCCTTCAGGATAACTTAAAATTTACTTTCAGTCAAAAAAATCGCTACGATAATAAATGGATTACCTTATATTTTTTATAATGATCATGTACATATTTAATGCTAACTAAGTGAAGAAAACTACATTTTTTAAATTAGGCTTAAAAAATTATACTGATAAACGAAGAATGCACTGAGGAAAATCTCTTATTTGAGATGCTTGTCTGAATCGCAGAGAGGGAAAGGATTTACTCTTATTGCTGTTAGTGATTTGTGTTTTTTGTTTGTAGTTTATTGTTGATAAGATTAATTCGGCTGTGGATTGTTGTAACTGATATTCAGAAGTAGCTGTCAAAGTTTTTCTTATTGTACTTATCTTTGTTGATAATTCATACAGATAAATTTATGATAAATACTTACGGGAAATCAATTAATATAAATGCTAAATAAACTGGATTTACAGTGAGCCTGAGTTGGGTGCTTACCGTCAGTGTTTACTATTTCATGATGGAAGTTATTTGAGTTATTTATCTTAGGCCGAACAATGGACTTACGCGACGCAATTTCGTAATGGAAATGGCTTTGGAGCCAAGAGACAAAAGAAATTAGAAGTGATATTGAGATCTGTTAATTAGATTTTCATTTCTCTGTTTGTGTAGGCATAAAACCACTTGTCGCTCCGAGCTGACGAGTTTTGTGATACAGGAAGTCGACTATTCGTCTCTTCGAATTACATTGAGTAAGGAGATGTACCATTAGTATCGAATGTTCTAACCCCTTGCGACCTAACATCAATATGCATATTGTCCACATTGTTCTTTTTATATTTCCTAAGGTACTGACAAGGAGAATTTGTTTAATAATCAAGTGCTTCTTCAGTTGATGATCTCTTCCTTTATTCTCTTGGCCTTAATGTTTGATTCAAGGGTGATAATATAAGGAGAAAGTAAATGTTGGTCATGTACCATTAGTATCATGTACCATTAGTATCGAATGTTCTAACCCCTTGCGACCTAACATCAATATGCATATTGTCCACATTGTTCTTTTTATATTTCCTAAAGTACTGACAAGGAGAATTTGTTTAATAATCAAGCGCTTCTTCAGTTGATGATCTCTTCCTTTATTCTCTTGGCCTTAATGTTTGATTCAAGGGTGATAATATAAGGAGAAAGTAAATGTTGGTCATCTTAGGGGTCAAAGGGTTAATACCATATCTAGGCTCACGCAGCAAGTTTTCGAGTTGAAGGGGGGAGGGCTTGCGAGCGAAAACTCAACGGGATTCGGGATACCGCTTCCGGGAACACATTTATATATAGCTCGCGAATTCTTAGATTGCGCTATCTCTATTGTGCAGAAGTTGATAAAACTTCGCAATTCAGTCCTTAATTTGGCTAACACGACAAGCAAATCTCTTATACCACTTATGAAATTAACCGTTACAAAAGCCAGAAATCTCGTCCTTTCCTGTCATTTACTCATTGGTATACGCATCAAACCGAATGGAGAGTGTATAGTATAGCCCGCTGAAAAATATAACCGAGGCAGTGGCCGACATTTACTGTCCTTTTGGTTGCGATATCTACCAAAAAAATCTGCCAGCATTGTTGAGAAGGGAAGATTCCCCCCATTCTCTGTTTATACATTGTCGGGTGGCAAAAACGATCTTTCACATTGATACAAATTTTGCATGCCACGGTAACAGCGCTTTCTTCCCTGGGATAGGCAACCTTCCGTATTAAGTACATACAAAGTTTTAGAAAAAAGAAAATTCTCATTCTGTCAGATGTGCTTGCACTTTCATAGATGCACTTTTTCCACTTTTTTGGCACAATTATTTTGGGTTCTTTCGTAACTGCATCATAAAACCAAATTCCTCTTTACACAACTATCCAGGGACCGACTCCTTAACATCCCAGTCCTGAAGAAAAAATTGCTAAACTGAAGACCGCTGCTGTCAGTCACCACGTTTGGCAGTCTGAAACTTTTGACTGTAAACAAATGTCCAAAGTAGACCACGATAGGGTATCAATAGCTTCTTCAAACTTTCGGCGTTTGCCGACAAAAATAACCAACCCAACTGAGTTAAGAAGTCTTTAGCTACATGTGAAACCAGGCCTGATGTAAAACATAACTACAACGGGCGGAATCTTACAATGTAACGAATCAAGTACGATGGCATCATGATTGCATCACCCAACAGAATGTTGTCGACAGTTCCTTTGCCGGGTAGCAAAAAGTTACAGCATTAAAATTGTAAGACCAAGCTTACTAGAAACCACAAGAAACTCCACAATCTGCAGTGATTCTCCGAGACAACCGTCTGACGAATGACGTCAAACTGGTTTTAAACAAAGAGAGATTTATTGGACAAAATATACGATGAATAAACTCAAGCAGGACGATGCTACAGGAAATTCCTATCGTTCTCCTCCTTAGATTTGACTTAAGAAGACTTTTAATATCATTATGTTTGACGTTAATTCAATAAATTAATCTCTTTATTTTTCAAAGTAGTATTATTAAATGCGTATCAACTTCTCATTCCAACAGAGATAATTTTGCATTATGTGATAGATACACAACAGACTATAAATAGCCAATAAAGGCGTCCGAGTTACCGTCTTTTCTGTCATCAGTTAATATGAGTGACTAAGGTCCCAGTGGCTCGGTTTATATGCGATTAAACACCAAAGAGATTAAAGAATCAATCACCAAGGTCAACCTACGCTGACACGTCACTGTTTCCTATCGCAATTTTGCCCGATTATTTTTTTTACTCTCCGTTCCTAATTAGTCAATTATAAAATATATTGATACGGTATGGAGTTAAAAATGCAATGTTCTCGTAATAAAGAGAAAAAGAGTAATTTCCAACTTTTTCTCGCGTACAACTTTTAGGCGTGGTTTGTCTGTTACAAATATCGTATGTACTTATCTGGTAAAAGAAAAAATGCAAGTATTTATCAAAACCTTGAAGAGTTAGTAACCACCAGCCATGTAACCTGCACCAAGGACTCACACAGTCGATAAGCTTAGGCATTTTGTCAAATGAAAAACTTCACATGAACATGTCTTTCATTTCGTGATTTTTGGTCACTCGTGATGAAAAAAACTTTCAAGACATGACCCACGTCCATAATTCACGCAATTCACCTGTGTCCATACGTTTTCTTTTACTCATATCTCAATCCATCGAGTAACTAAATAATTATCACAAAATTAAGGAAATATGACTTAGACCATTATGGGTTATCCAAATGAAATACTAATAAAATTTTCCAGACCACTTTCCAGGAATGTTTTCGTATTCTCCCTGGGATAAAATACGATGAAATAAAATCGAGTTAAAAAATTGACTTCGATCGAAGAGCAATTTTTATTTCAAAACTTGGTGAACCTCATTCCCTTCCCTATAGTTTTAATACACGGTTCCCGATCTTAGACCCTCTTCAATTACTCATCGCATTTTCTTTAGCAAAAGACCCTCTACAGATCTGTGAGCAAACACTTAACTATTATTCACGAAATTTCAACATTCAGAGAACAACTTTTCTTTTCGTTATCCAAGGATAGAGAAAGGAGTAGACCCTGTGGTTCAAACATGATGGGAGAGAAGAGAGAGGCTTAAAAAAGAACTCATCCATGGATAATGATCACCAGCAGAAGCGTCATGGTTTAGAAATGGATCATCAATACATAATGAAAACCCAAATTGGTTGACTGCAGCCAAACTGATCCCTTGGTGAAAGAAGGAGATTGTTGGTTTTGCGTTCTTTCAACCTCTTGTTTGATGGATTAACAGAACCACATTTTAAATTTAAGAATGATAATGCAGCTAAAATTGTGATAAAATTAATCATTGTCTCCTACCGGCCAAAGACTTTTTCTATCAGTTACAACTGGATTCAAAACAACGCGACTTGCACTAATTTGCCAGCTGCCAAACTACAAATATAGAGTTTAAAGCTTTAAAATCCTAGATTGAAAATATCACAAGCTATGTGACGTAAAGTGGTTTAGATGAGTACACGTATGTGAGACCTATAGTCTTCAAGTATTTTACTCCCTATTTTACTTTTGAAACTATATGCCTTT